ACCCTAAAGCATATTGAAGCTTCAAGCCTGAAAAATTATTTGCCCAAATGAAACCTAGTGAGAAAGCTTCATTATCAACAGAAGCCATCTTAACCTCCTCACCGCCATCACATATAGTGGAGGTTTACTGCAGGCTAAAACATCAGGGACTACTCTGAAGCCTTAGCTGCAGGCACAGGCATTAATAACAATGACTAAATCTAAATTGAATTACCAATCAGAGGGCCATAGGGAGAAGAACAAGATATGATGGATTAAAAGTGGTTGGAAGGATGTACCAGATAGTTGGTTCTCTTAATATTTAATATAATTTTCTTGAGAGCAAACAGAAAAAAGTTAATATTAAAATCTGTAAGACTTTATTTAAAAGCTAGGCTAGGGTTGCTAACTGAGAACAAGGTTCCTCTGCTTTTGTGTCTAAATGACAATGTATGATTATGAGGACTTTGAAACCAGTGTTCAAATTTCCAGAAAAAAGGTATTATCTGGCTTAAATGTAGGTATAGACTTAAAAATAAAACTTCAAGGGTCACTAGTAAATCACAAACTTAAGACAAAATAACTTAGGAACAAATATTAACAAATTCTAATTTTCCTGAAATCCTTTTAATCCACCATAGAAATAGGAAATTAAAAAGATTCTTCTATATATAAAGAATTTATATGGCTCCCCAGAATGGCTCAGAACTGATTCTTTATTCATTAATATTTCATATAAATAAAATTCCCAGAACATTCAGTGAGAAATAAGTGTCTTCTTTAGAGACACATCTGCCAGATGAAATGTGAATAAAAGCCGACAGTATTATGTGTCTTTTCATTCACAGCTAGATGACTTGTCCTCCAAATCCCATACGCTACATTCAACATTTATTTCTTGCTTTGCATTTTCTTTAGAAATATGTTCTTTCATTCTCTAGAAATGTAAAAGAAATTTTTCACTATTATATTTTAATTTTTAAGATTTTCTGTTGAATTTGAATCATGGTACCAATAATTAACTGATGGGAGTTCAAATATATATGCAAATCAACTCTGCCCACCATAATTGTTGTGCCTGTGAGACAAGTATTTTATGACAAAAACTGCTAAACATCAACAGTTCATTTTTTATAGCCAGTAATACAAAAATGATTGCAATTATTGCAACATTTGTAGGATAAGCACCGAGCAATTCAAATATATGAAGAGTAAGATATGACCAAGTACTTGCAAGCATCCCTTCTAGATTTACAATTATAGTCAACAATTTTGTCCCTTATAATTAAGTTCCTAATTAATGGTTGGATAAATCACAATTAAAAGTCCCCAACTTAACACCTTAGTTTCAGATTCTGTTCCTTTTAATTGACAGGACAACTTTAAATACTCAGGTCAAAGACAGTAAACAAGCAATTATGAAATTTATCAGAAACTTTAGGGTTATGACTTTAATGTACTTAATCATTCCAATCAAATGCTCAGACAGGTAATTATGCACAGGCAGATTATAATGGGTTGGGTTGGGTGTTTTATTTTGGTTGTTGTTGTTGGGGGGAGGGGGTTGATGCACCCTGTGTAGCCCAGGGTGGCCTCAAACTCACAATTCTGCCTCTTACCTTGAGAGTGCTAGGATTATAGGTGGATGCCACCATGCCTGGCAGCAGTAAATTTGTTTTTAAAACAAAGTATGAATATTTCATCAAATTCCAGGTAGAAATCACTACATAAGAAAATCACATTATAAAAACCCAACTCAACATATTGTGTTTTGTATATACAAATGACGCTTTCAAAAAATTTCCCAGAAAAAAAAGTGTCTCTCCCATTCTCATTTAGTCTTAGATGACTGTCTAATAATGAAGTCAGTTTACATGTGAAAACATTTTGAATAATCCTATTAAAAACCAATTTAAACGATGTGGCTCATGTTTAACTCTTCAGTTATTTATTCATTAATTGCTCTAAATGCTTCTTTCCTCAATATAGCTGTAGTTCAAGAGGCAGCCAGCAGTTGGTCTCAATTTCTGTGGATTTGTTGTGATCACCCAGATTCTTTTATTGCACACTAAACAAGTTTTTCATAACTTATGAGCTTATAAAACACTTTCAGAAAAGACTCCAAAAGAAACAAATTTTCTTTAAAAAAAAAAAATCCAAACAAAAGAAAGCCACACACTCTGTAAAGATGTTCTGTTCAGCAGATATGAAATGTCTCCAACAGAATCAAGAACCACGTAGTTTGGAAGCAATACCCAAGAACTCATAACAGATTGGTCAAAGCCAATAGTGACAGCCATAAGTGCTTTAAAGTAGATTAGGGATGGCTGAAATACCAGGTACTGGGCCTTCCCCCAGTCTCCCTATTCTATTTACCAGGAATGCCTTCCACTGCACCATTACACAGTGGCTCAAAAGCCTTTGTCCTAGATCCTCTGTTATTTTCTCCTTTTCTGCTCTCCCCTAAAAACTTCAATCATACTAATATTGATGCTTATGGAGATAACACACAAATCTACATCTTTGTTTCTGATATATCACCTAAACTAATCTTCTACTTCAACTGCTGTTTAAATATTTCCACCAGAATATGCCATCACTATCTTACACTCAATATATACATAACAAGCTTACGCATCTTAATCAAACCAATGACCTCTTTTCATGGAAACAAAGCCAAAGTTTCCCTGGCATTGGTAACATGAATCACACTTTTCTGCTCATTAGAACTTAAAACCAGAGGAGCAATCACTCTGGTAACCTCCATAATTCACACACAATAGGATCATGTGGCAGATTCATTTTTCAAAGATAGCCACCACAATATCAAATATGCACATATATTTCTAAAATATGATCTTGCCACTTTGCCAACAAAAGTTGGACTGAATTCAGTCTCACACAAAGACTCACTTATAACCAAAAGAATGTGACTTGAAGCAATTCTCTGAGACTTCCTAGGCTAAGTCCTAAAAGATCATCTAGGTTCTGCCTACTTCTCTTGGATTACTCCCTCTGGGGGAAGCCCACTGCCGTATTAAGAACTTAGCTACCTCAAGACTCACATGCTGAGGAGAGGCCACAAGAAGTCCCAACCAGGTCCAGTTTTCTTGCTATCCCCACCAAGGTGCCAGAAATGAGACCACAGCTAAATAGCTCCCTCCTAACCAGTTCATCTGCCAACCAAACTAATTAAACATTTGGAGAGTAGAATCGCTCAGCTGAGCCCTGCCCTAGCACATAAAATCATGAAATGTAATAAATGTATCCAAAGCCTTACTTCTAATTAGTTAATACATCTTATGTGGATTTGTTACTACATGAAAGCTAATGTTAACTGAAACATCACATTTTTGTGTCTATCCCCTGAGCCATCCTCATAAAGGAAACTTTTATCACCTTAGATTTATAGATTGTTACAACTAACTGAATTCTGGCTCCTCCCATTATAGTCCATGATTACAATTATTCTAACCTAATACTTCCAAATCTATTTTTAAGGTACTCCATAATTTGGTTTCAATGTATCCAGTTGTATGTTATTTCCTACTAACCCTATAGACACACCAGTAGCACAACAGGAAGACTGTTTACTAACGTGACAGTCTAGGAGCATTTACTCACAATACTTTCCTCTTTCTTCTCCCCTTTACTCATGTGTGGACACAGATTTTACCTCCTCCATTAAATATCTACCAGCCTACCCCTGCTGCTTTCCTCTCTCTGCTGTTCCTACAAAAGTTTTCAATTTCACCCAAAATTTGGTAATTTCATCTTGTTCAAGTATGTTGATCTTACTTTCCAGGCTCGTATTCCACCAACACACATTCACATGTACAGTGATGATGGGTGCTTACAATCAGTGTATGTTCTGACCAGTCAAGGCCCATGACATGCCTTTTGTTAATTATTTTGGATTTCATCTCTATTTCCCAAACTAAACCATAAGCTCTTTAGTAACAGAAATCATGTCTCATAAAGAACTATTATATTCTCCAATCCATGCAAAGTACACAACTAATATTCAACATATATTGGTTAATTGATTGAAAGGAATAGAGTAGGTAGCACTGTGGAAAAATATAAGTTATGTCGACACTGAAAACAGAGTTGAAAAGATAACAAAATATTTTCAAGATCAGCAGTTTAATGTCCATGACATTTTTAAAGGATCATTTAAAGGTATTCTGTGCAGCCCATAACTACCAAGATGTTTTATAAATGTTCTGCACAGAACTGGGGGAAAAAAGTTTCAAAAATAGTAAAGGAGTAGATGTCTTAACAGCCCAAAATAAAATGTTTGCTGAAGCTACAAGGCTGGCAGAATGCTGCTTAATTTCAAAAAGTTTCCAGGCAAAAGAAATGTTTTCCTGGAAAATACTACCTTTTATTTAGAGAACACTTGCCATGAACACTTAGTCATTAAGTAATTTAAGGTTTCCTCACAATTCCTTTAAAAGAAATCTGAATGAAATTATCAGCACCTACAATGTCAAAAAATATACATTTGACTAAATATTTGAAGTTTTTTTTTTTTCCCCAGGTAAGGGCAAAAAAAAATTTTACACTTCTTTGGTCTACTAGATAGTATTTTAAGATTTTTCTATGAAGTAAAATTATGGGGGAAAAAACAGAATACTTAAGTGTTTTTCTCTTGTCTGTCATACATACATATCCAAAAAACTCTAGGCTTATTTCATTCCAAATGCCAAGTTATTTTCAAACAGAAAAAACATTCACTTCATTCAATGAAAAGAACAGTAATTTCAAAGCTATTTTTAGAAAAATCTTTGAGTTCACTTCAAATTACCTTTCAATGAGAGAGCAACTTGGACATTTCACTCAATCATCTGTAGTAAATCATATAATGAAACCTAAGAAAACCATTCCTTCCAAGAGTTTTATAGCCAACCAAGTCTTTATTCTTTTCAACATCAAAAGAAACAACTAAATTCTAATCCAAGCACGTGATTTATATACTTACTCTCTTAAAAATCTACACAAAAGGATATTTGTTTTACCTGTTTAGTATTTCAGTGAGTTTCACAAAACCAGTATAAGCCAGTTCAAATGCTCCTCTGTGCCTGGACTGTAAAAGGTGTTGTTTAAAGTATTCTCCTATTTCTTTTACCTTTAATAAAAAATACGAAACAAATGTTCAATTTATGCTTACATTTACAGATACATTTAAATCATTAATGTCATTTAGAAATTCTGTCTAGGTGTCCATCCGATTAGCATTATGTGACAGGTAGTATTTTAAGCATTTTTATATTGCATTTAAGCTTCATAACAAGTTGCATGAAGTCACTAGTACTATTGTCTCCACTCCCAGAAAGGCTAAGTAACATTCCTTCCAAGGTTCCCTAGCAAGTAAGCAGAGGGGCCGGACAAGAAACCAGGCAGTCTGTCTCTAGAATCAGCCATCCGAACCTACACTAGAACTGCCTCCCTACACCAGATTCACAAACCTTACTGTGTGCCATTAATTCATGTCATTCAACACCAACATAAAATCACAAGAAGCAACAATACTCACATACATAGGGCTCAAAGAAAGAATTATATTTTCTCCTTAAATTTTTTTCTATTTTTATTGTGGTAAAATATCCATGGCAAAATTTAATTTTTATCATTTTAAAATGTATAGTTTGGTGGCATAAAATACATACACAGTCTTATATAATTATCAATATCATCCAACTACAGAACTTTTTCAGCTTCCCAAAGTGAAAGTCTATGCCCATGAATAACTCCCAATAATTACCTTTTAACAAACGTGTATCTCTAAAAAACCTCTTGCAAATGCTTTAAGTGGGGTGGGGTGGGGGCTGAGGGGAGAGATGATGGGGGCAATGTAAATAATGTACAATATAAGTGTAATCAGAATTGTCACTATGAATCCCCCCCCCCATAATGAATGTATCCTAATAAAAGTTTACAACTAAAACAATAGACATCTACAAATGTTAATTACAACTTAAGGTTCAGTACAAAGACTACCACTTCAAGCCAAACCATGAAACCCACCATAACGCCACTGAATCACTCTCTAACATAATGTCTTTCTCCATGCAAGACTAGACAAATAAAAAATATGAAAGGACCGGGGATATAGGTGAGTTATAGAGTGTTTGCCAAAGATGTACAAGTAATGTGTGTGTATATGTGCATATATGTATGTATACGTATACATGTAAGTATACGGCAATTTTAAAGAAAACGTAACTGACAACTATCTTGTGGTTCTATATAAAATTGAACACAAATTGGTTAGTCTAATTGGGCTTTATACTATTAGATATAGTGGCTACTGGCTTTAGAAAACCCAGGTTTTGTATAAAATGAGACCAAAGTGATTAAAAACACTCTTTTTTTATCTGTTGAAATATGTCACCACAGATTCCAGTATGGTGAAAAGACAGGCTATCTCAAGATAGCTCAAATCTGCTTACCTAGAAACATCTTCTACCTCAAGATAGTGACTAGATCAGTGGTCTGCAGACATCAGAGATGATAAACACAATAAGAAGTAAAAAAAAATGTCTCATGTTCCTCATCTATAAACCTGGGATAATAATAATACTTAACCTCATAGGTTGTTGTATTAAAATAAGTTAATAAACTGAAAAGCTCAGAACAGTTCCACAGCATATAGTCCAACTCAGTTTAATCTGAGCTCTTCTAAATAGAGGAAAGTATCTACATTCAAAGTGTATCTCAGAAAAATGGCGACTGGGACATAGACACAGACTACGGAAGCTCCATGAATTAGAAATCTTGCTGAGATGCTGAGACATACTTGGCTGAGGTAAAGCAAGAGGGAGAGCTAAAACTTTGCCACCCTGAACCCCTAGCCCATGGAAGGCTTTGCCACACCACAATAAATTGAAAGAACAAGCAGGCTCCCATGCCGCTGCTGTCCGCTGGGCATCTGCCATGCAGGCACGCCAGGCCTCCACCCGGCAGAACAGCTGTGCCGCCACTCACTGACCCACCAGGCCTCCACCCCTGAGTCCCGCAAGGCCTCCGGCCCACCAGCCTGCCAGGCCGCCACCCCGCCAGCCCACCAGCCACCGGCCACCACAAGAGGACTCCAACACCACCACACGCCGGCTCCAAACCTGCCTAGGAGACGCAGACAAACAGAACTGGATGCTAAAGAAGTAACACCCCGAACTACTAAGACTGAAATTCTATGGTTCCTGAACCAGGATTTTTTTTTTCTTTTTTCTTTTCTCTCTTTTCTTTAAGTGTTTGTTTGTCTTCTTTGCTGTTGGATTGTCCACCATATCTCCCTGTTGATTTCTTTGGTTCTCCATTTTTTTTCTTTTCCTTCTTTTTCTTTTTCTTTTTTCTCCTTCTTTCTTGGCTTTGTTAGTTCTACTACTGTAAGTTAGCTATAATAAATTACATATAGACTAGGGACAGTAACAGCACCAAGCAGAATGATGGGAACACAAAAAAAGGATGGAAACCATTCTCCCCGCCAAAATAAATTAGTACAGGAGTCAGAAGGAAATGAAGAAAACGGATACCCAGATCCAGACCACAACAAAACAAGGAGAAACGATACCAAGGCACCCAACGAAGCCCACAAGAACATACTGAAAGAAGAAATCCTGCAAGTACTCAATGAGAATTTCATAGAGATGATACTAGACATGGTCAACCAAAATGTAAAAGAGGCACTTAAGAAATTCTAAGACAACAAAAATAAACAATATGAGAAAACACAAAAACAAATAAATGAAATCATATAAGCCCTAAACAAACACCAAGTTGAAACAGAGAACACCACAAACAGAAAGATAAATTAATTAAGGATGAAAATTGACAATATTAAAGAAAAGTAACCCATGATATGGAAAACCTCAGAAAAAAGAATGAAACAGAAATGCAAAAAAAAAAAAAAAAAATGGAAGGCCACTCTAGCAGACTAGAACAAGCAGAAGACAGAATCTCAGAACTCGAAGATGAAATGGTAATTAAAGGAAAAACTGAAGAACTATTAGTCAGACAACTTAAGACTTGTGAAAGGAATATGCAACAACTCACTGACTCCATCAAAAGACCAAACCTGAGAATCATGGGCATTGAAGAAGGAGAAGAGGTGCAAGCAAAGGGATTCATAATATATTCAACAAAATAATAACAGAAAATTTCCCAAATCTAGAGAAAACTATGCCCATTCAGGTACAGGAAGCCTCCAGGACACCAAACAGACTTGACCAAGATAGAACTACCCAACGACATAGTATCATTAAAACAGCAAACACAGAGAATAGAGAAAGAATATTGAAGGCTGTAAGAGAGAAAAAACAAATAACATACAAAGTAAACCCATCAAAATCACAGCAGATTTCTCAACAGAAACCTTAAAAGCAAGAAGAGCATGGAGTGAGGTCTTCCGGGCATTGAATTAAAATAACTTCAACCCAAGGATACTCTACCCAGCAAAACTATCATTCAAAATAGATAGAGCAATAAAAGTCTTCCATGATAAGCAGAAACTAAAACAATATATGACCACCAAACCACCACTACAAAAGATTCTTCAAGGAATTCTGCACACAGAAAGTGAAAGCAAACAAAACCATGAAGGGGCAGGTAGTACCAAACAACAGGAGAAGAAAAGGCAAGAAAAAGTAGAGAGAAACATTGATTCAGCTGCACGCAATCAAACCCTTAAACAAGAAAGACAACTAAATGACAGGAATCACCACATACCTATCAATACTAACACTGAATGTTAACGGACTTAATTCCCCCATCAAAAGACACTGTTTGGCAAATTGGATTAAAAAAAGAAAGATCCAACAATCTGTTGTTTATGTGAGACCTATCTCATTGACAGAAACAAGCACTGGCTGAGGGTGAAAGGCTGGAAGAAGATCTACCAAACTAATGGCCCCTGAAAATAGACAAGGGTAGCAATACTTATCTTGGACAAAGTAGACTTCAAACTTACAATAATCAAATAAGATAAAGAAGGACACTCCATACTAATAAAAGGGAAATACACCAAAAGGAACTAACAATTATCAACTTATATACACCCGATATCAGTGTACCCAATTTCATCAAACATACTCTGAAGGACCTAAAAACATATATAGACTCCAACACAAGGGTAGTGGGAGACTTTAATACCTCCCTATCACAAATACATAGGTCATCCAAACAAAAAACAATAAAAAAAATTCTAGAACTAAATCATACCATAGATCAAATAGACCTAGCTGGTATCTACAGAATATTTCATCCAACTTCTTACAATAACAAACATTCTTAGCAACTCATGGAACCTTCTCCAAAACTGATATCTTAGGGCACAAAGTAAGTCTCGGCAAATATAAGAAAATAGAAATAATCCCCATGCATTCTACCTGATCACAAGGCAATAAAACTAGAAATCAACAACAAAAACAACAGTGGAAAACATGCAAACCATTGGAAGCTGAACAACACATTGCTCAATGATTAAAGTGTCATTGATGAAAGAAAACAGGATATTAAAAGGTTCCTGGAAGTTAATGAAAATGAAAACACAACCTACCAGAACCTATGGGACACAGCAAAGGCAGTCCGAAGAGGAAAATTTATAGCCATGAGTGCATACACTAAAAGGTCAGAAAGATCACCAATCAATGACCTAATGCTGTATCTCAAACTCCTAGAAAAACAAGAACAAGCAAATCCCAAAACAAGCAGAAAGAGAGAAATAACAAAAATAAGGGCTGAAATCAATGAAATAGAAACAACAAAAACCATACAAAGAATCAATGAAACAAAAACCTGGTTCTTTGAAAAAAATAAGTAAGACTGACAGACCCCTGGCAAACCTGACTAAAATGAGGACAGAAAAAACCCAAATGAGTAAAATCAGAAACACAAAAGGGGAAACTAACAACAAACACCAAAGAAATCCAGAGAATCATCAGAGACTACTTTGAGAACCTACATTCTAATAAATTTGAAAATCTTGAAAAAATGGACAAATTTCCAGATACTTATGAACCATCCAAAACTGAACCGAGACTATTAATCATCTAAATAGATCTATAACACAAAATGAAATTGAAGCAGCAATAAAGAGTCTCCCAAAAAAGAAAAGTCCAGGACCTGATG